ATGGGTATTCCATTGCTTCAGAAGGTCACAACCCCATAAATTCACTATGCTATGAGCCACATGTGGCCTCAGCCTTCCTCTCTGTCCTTCAGGCCCTATGCATTCAACCTGTGCTTTGTTGCATTTGAGATATGGTTCCAATTCCTAGGAATTGAATGTCTGTCTCTTGAAGAGGCCAATTTGGATGCCAAGATTCTGGAGTAATGATACTCACATTCACACCCATGTCTAGTAATCCCTCAATTACAATGTCATACTCTTAGCTTTGGTCTTTGATCATTTATAGAAGTCTGCCAAAATATACATTTCCTATTTCCTACTGGAGTTTCTGATTCATCCTTCATGTCTATTCCATCATCCCAAACAGTATCATTTTTCACAGGAGGCACTGTATTTTTTTATTTTCCTGGTGAGACATGTTCACCACAGTGACTGAGAATGACTGAACCACATTTGACTTGGGGGTCTGCAAGAGGGCCCCCAAGGAGTTTCCCAATGGCATCAGATTGCCTTGTCTGTATTTTGTCAATCTACATTCATTAGTCCAATGTCAGCCTTTGCCAAACTTGCCACATATTTCCAGAAGGATGAGACTGCTTATTCTTACCATTACCAGAGGAAACATTACTCCTAGGAATTCAAGAGTCTACAATCTCTTTTCAGATGTCCTATTCTACCACAATAAAAACATTTGGCATTTTATGTCTCCTTGTATCTTTGGAAATTGCTTCTCCTACCCAAACCTCAGTATTATAGCTAAATATCTCAATGTCCATTGTATTCAAGAAATATTCATCCATTGGTGCTGATTTAACTTTTAAAGGTCCAAGTATCTTTTGGCGTTCTAAGTTGGCATTTGCAAAATCGTGAGATTCAATCAGTACATGTCTAGCTTCTAGGTATGTTACTCCTACTTGTACAGTCTTAGTTAATCTTTGTAAAAAGTCAGTAAAGGGTTCTCTCTGGCCTGTTTAACCCTAATATATGATTTGATTATCTTTTTTGTTACCTGAATCCTGTCCCAAGCATTTAAAACTGTTGTGCTACATAGAAACAAGGTCTGTTCATTGTAGAGAGCCTGGTCCTGAGGATCGGGGTTAATAGCCCTCACCAAGAATTTGATCTTGAGAAGCCTCAAATCCTTTTGCTTTTCCCTGTTGTTCTAAAATTTTGCCTCTTCTCACCAATAGCATTTCCATAGCAGCTGGAATTCATTTTCTAGGACTGCTGAGATTAATTGAAGCCAATAGTGTGGGATGGATTTATTGCTTAAAGCCCATGTTTTCACCATTTCCCTGACAAATAGTAAATGCAGGCCATAAGATACTATTGATTGCTTAATTTCTTTTAGGTCACTCATACCTATAAGCTGCTATGTATATTCTTTGATCACCTTAGGGTAATTTGTGCCAGATGGCTTCTCAGAGGAAATTACTAGATAGGCAACTAAAACTCTGGATAAGTCATCCCAGACTCTGACACATACTGACAATCCTGTCTTTGTACCTTTTCTCCCTGAACAACAGTTTTGTTAATTTCCTAAATCTTTTTACCACTGCCTCTTGTAAAGTCTGAATCTCCTGTCCAATGTTCCATTCTAATGTCCTCTGTTGGGGAGGGGGCTGCTCATTGGTCCCAGCTACCCAGCCATGAAATAATCACACAGAAACTGTATTATTTGCAATACTGTTTGGCCAATAGCTTAAGCATATTTCTGGCTAATTCATATTCTAAACTAACCCATCTCTATTAATCTGTGTATTACCATGTGGCTGTGGCCTAACCAGGTGAAGTTCCCAGTGTCTGTCTCTGGTGGATCCACGGCTTCTCTCTGACTCCACCCTTCTTTCTTTGAGCATACAGCCTAGCTTTCCCTGCCTTGTTCTGTTCTTCCCTGCCATAGGCTCAAAGCAGTTCTTTATTCTTTAACCAATAAAAGTAACTCATAGACTTCATTATTAGTCTGTAAAGACTGTATCATTTCTAAAAGTGCCTCATTCCTGGCTCTTTTATCAAACCATTTCTTAATGATATAATATGAAAAACAAAACTAATTCGCAAAATCAAATAAGTGGATATATAAGGAAAATCACATAAACCTCACAGAATACCATCCAAAGTATAAGGAAAAGGTTATTAAATTCCTGAATGGTAATTCTGTCTGTATCATATAACTTTCAAATTTATTTACTTACCTTTGTTAGGAGATTTCAGTGTTATTGGCCAACAGCTATTATGGTTGCAGTCGCATGGCCGAAAGATGTAACCATCTGCATTGCAGGATTGTTCATGACACTTTGGTTCTGCACGTTGGTGCCTGGTTAAATACTGACAAATACCATTGGGCAACCCCTGACATTCTTAGTCACCATGTACTTTGCTTGACAAATTTAGAACAATTAAATTAATTCTGTACATGGATCAAGGAGTTTAGAGCCTGCAAATCTGAAACTTCACAGCAGAGAAAGCAGCAGACAGGGTAAAGACTGTGCAAGCCTGGAAAATTGCCAAGCCACTGCACAATAGCTCTCCTGTGGCTGTGGTAGGGTTTGGCGAAAAGCTGCTTAGTAGGTGAAATCAAGCCAGGTAGGTGGGGGTGGGAGACCTTTTGGGTCACAGACATTTGGGTCTTTTTTGGCCTATCCCCATAGGTGTGGAGTTGGAATTCACATGGGCACCAGATGAAGAGGGAAGTTACAAAATAATCCCACACTGGCTCAGAATTGAGTATAATAAAAAGTTATTTATATAGGGGTAGACTCACAAATCACAGTCCTCTGCATGAATGGGGAACAGGAACCAAATCCAGAAGCCAGGAGAGAGAGAGAGCATGTACTTTACTTCAGCATTTATAGTATAAGAGGCCACACTGAAATGTGCTGATATCTTAAAGGTTATTGGCTGAAGGAGTTCCTACAGCAAGAAACTTACCCATAGATGTACCAAGAACTGTGCTTTACAATTTTTTTAGTTATCTCTCAATCAAGTCAAGTTGATGTCTCAGATTGGCCATGGTCCTCAAAAATATCACTGGGCAACCCCTGACACTCTTAGTCACCATGTGCCACCTCTAACGTTCATAAAATGCCCAGATTATTTTAAAATCTCCCTCCCCTTTATTTTACAAGAGCCTTTGCAAGTTGAAGTTGGGTCTTCCATGGGCTGGGAAGAATGCTCAGTGGATAAAGTACTTGTCATGTAAACATGGAGACCAGAGTTTAATCAGCATACAAGACTGGCAGGCTTGATGGCCATCAGTGTTCCCAGCACTACAAAGGCTGAGAAGGGATCCCCATGGTAAGCTGGCCAGCTGGACTAGCTAGAACTGGTGAGCTCTAGGACCAAAGAGACACCCTAACTCAATAAACAAAGTGGAGAGGGATTGAAGAACACATCTACCATCAGCTTCAGGCCTCCAAATATATATTGCACATACATGTGCATCCACACACTTAAGAACACATATACACAATTACTGAATGTATATACATGGACAATTTTTTTTAGAGCTGGATACCTCCCTAATTCCTCTACCAACCTCCTCTCTGTCCTGTCCCCAAGATCTCACAAGTTCATCTCATTCTTCCCTTCCTGAGGATCCCCTCTAAGGGTATGCACCCTACCCATAGAGGTCACCACCATCAAAACATGGAGATAAATCATCCTAGAAGCCTCAGACCATTGGACCCTGGACTGTCTCCGTATGTGGGAAACTGCTCATACATCTGCGTGGTTTACATCCCATACAGCCTACATACATTACACACAACCCTGTGCTCCACTGACAACCAGAGACAGAAGAGAATAAACAGGTCCTGATACACTTAAAAACATAGTAACTGTGGGAAAAATCTAGAATGCCAAGTTTACATTAGCATAATCATACCAGCATACGGCACATAGGGATCCTGGAAATGTCAAGAATGAAGTCTACTCAACCTTCTCATGTTGTGCAGGACATTGTACAAACACTTGCATTCAAAGAAGTTTTTTTTTTTTTTTTTTTTATCAAGACAGGGTTTCTCTATGTAGAAACCTTGCTGTCCTTGCAAGTTACTTTGTAGACCAGGCTGGCCTCAAACTCAAAGATCCACGCCTCTGCCTCCCTGAGTGCTGGGATTAAAGGCATGCGCCACCGTTGCCCGACCGCTGTTTATTCTTTGTCAGACTTTAATGCTACCGTCTTAAAGGTTCAAACCATTCTGTAAGATAGATAAGGATAGAATTTAGAGCCAGATTTGAAACCTTTTGCTTAAGTTCATGACCTCTGTCCCACTGTCCTGAATGTCTGAATTCTACAAGCATTGTGCCCTTAACCTGAGAAGGGTCTTGGTCTCAGAGTTCTCCAAAACTGGTATCAGAGGGTGGGGCCTCAGCAGCTGCCTTCTTGAGTAACATCAACCTGCTAAACTTCTCCGAAAATCTCTTTTCCAGCATTTTCAGAATGGTGAGGAGCTGGATTCTTGGTATTGTTTAACTAAATGATAGAAATCTTTTATAACCCTTGTCTATCCACATCTGCTGCCTTACCAGCCTTATCTCTGAGCCCCTCAAGGCCTCTGAAATCACACTTGATAAAGGAACTATTGAGAAACATGTGGTCAGAAGATCAACACTGTTGTGTTTTTACTTCTCTGAGAAATAAGCAAATAAAACTCGACTTGTTCTTGCTAAACACTCAGGAACTTAATCTTGCGAAGGTGTTTATCCTGTAATCTGTCTTTACACTAATTGAATCAGAGCAAATCCTCCTGAGCTACGGAGTTGATCTTCTTATTCCATAAGGAAAAATGAATGGAGTGTATTTACGATTTAGCTTTTCTGATCTAATAGCCTATGGGTCTGCTTCTGTCTTATATTCTGAATTAATTTTAATATAAGCCATTTTAAAACGTAATGATAAATTGTGGAGCATATTTGTAGGTATTTGTCAGAATCCCTGCACACATGGGTATTTATTCTACTGGCTTTCGGTTGATTTGGGATTCCTGAGGGTAAACATGGTTCCCCTTGATCTGATTGGCAACATGGTAATAAGGTATCCACACCAGAACACCTTCAATGAACAGCCATGTACTAACCTTGGTAAGTAATGTCTGCCAGAGGGGAAACAAGCATTCATTCTTATAACTATCCACTGTCTTCATGCTAGTGAGCTCTTGACTCCAAAGGAAGTAGTAGTCTGTATGCCTTAATTTGGTAAAGCTCAAGTAAGAATGTTTAAATGGAGGGCCAGAAAATACATATAAATTTAGAAAATGTTCCTGAAACATTTGCTTGATTTTCAAGCTCTCTTTTGTATTAAGAATATCCCTAGAACAGAAGACCAAGGCAAGGATATGCAGCTAAAACTGATGTGACTCTGGGTTCACCACCTCCTAATGAATAAATGATTTTCCTTTTAAGAAATACTTGAGCCAGTGATGGTGGTACATGCTTTTCATCCCTGCACTCAGGAGGCAGAGGCTGGCAGATCTCCGAGTTTGGGGCCAGCCTGTCTACAGACTGGGTTCCAGGGCGACAATACCTACATAGAGAAACCTTGTCTTGAAAAATTCAAAAAGAAAAGAAAAGAAATACTTGAATAAATTTAATTCCAATCAGATAGTGATAAGGTTTGGGTACATGGACAATTTGGCAGGAAAGCTCTTGTCTCTTCAGTAATTCAGCTTTATTTACTGGGTGTCTGCAACAGGCATGGATATAACAGGCACCAAAGAAACAACACACACACACACACACACACACACACACACACACAAAACACCAAAGCCAGCTGCCGTTCTCAGAGGCTACCTTCCTGTATAGTTTGTGAGAAGGGTAGCTGACGATGATGATAAAATGACCATTAATAATCATAAATACCCTCATTGGTAAAAGGATAAAAGGTGGAAACTGTTCTTTGATTGGGGCAAACTTGGAAAACTTTGAAAAGAAAAGAATAAGATAAAGGGGGAGAGTTGAACAGATCTAAACAAAGGGAGGGAGGCAAAGAGACAAGGCATGGCCATTGGAAGGCTAAAGTGTAACATGAGATCAGAGGACTGGCCAGAAAGCCAAGCCCACTGGAGCCAGCCCAGGAGACCTGGGTTTCAATGGAGAACTTTGTGTTCACCTGGGGGCCTCCCTTACATGAAGGCAAGCCTGTCAGGTCCCTGCTAGAGAAAAATAAACAAAAAATAGAGGCCCAGAGAACAGTTCAGAGGCGAGTTTTTTCAGTGACCAAACCAAAGAGTGATGGTTTATTGATGGGTTCTGAGCTAGATCAGTGTCCCTGAGAGTAGAGTGTAAGGAAGGGATGTAGGAACTATTTCTCAGAAGGTGTCATGAGGGGGCTGACAAGAGAAGATCCAGAGCAAAATGAGGAAGGATCAAAATGAAAGTGGAAAATTTTAAGCCTCTATGCCTAGTAGAATATTGGTTCTGTTAGCCAAATTAGTACAAAGATAGAATGAACATTTGGAATAAATTTAAGTTCTTAATGTGACCCTGAGAAATCCAATCTCGCTTCTTACAACTATTATTCATGTGAATTTGAACATGTACATGACAGAAATGCTTTTTCCATTTGATACATTTGAAGTTATGCAGTGTTTTATTGTTTCCTCAGGATGCCTTTATATGGTAGGATTTTAAGAGCCCACTGAGAGATGAAAACATTCAGTAGCACTTTGTATATTAAAATACAGAAACAGAATCAACAATTTGGTCTTCCTTTGGAAACACTGCCTTTTATCATGATATAATTATTGTCAGAAAGTCTAAATGTTCAGAAGTCCCTAGCCAATAAAGAGAGGGGAATTCTGGAGTCATATCGAGCAACCAAATAGGAAAGAAATGGCTTGTTAAGAAACTTCAGGGCCAATAGAGGAAAAATTCTGACTCTGTATGACTTAAATGTCTCTGAGCACATATAAGACTCTTGGAGATGGAAAAGTTCCCAGACTGGTTAAATTGCCAGTATAATTAAATGCCAACGTTTTCTGCAGTGTTCAGTGGTTCCTTGGGCATCCTGGTTCTTCAATGAGGTTCCTCATGACCTCCAGATGGTAGAAGCTATTCTACACATCATCTCTTCCATTTAAAAACGCAAAAGAGCCATGTCTTCTTATTCTTGCTTGATTATGTGTCTTGTCTTGTTTTAAAGAAGGGGATCTTTCTTATAAGTACAGCAAGAAAACTTCCTTTATAGCTCATCTCTAAACTAAATGAAAAACCCAACCCTAAGTGAGTCACTGCCTTCCAGCAATTCTTAGGGTGACTGTCTCCAACTGGCTCGAAACTTTGCATCTCAGACCCATAAAGTATTTACCCATTGTTAGATCCTAGGCATTCTATATGTCCAGAAATGACAGTGTTGGCTTAATTCAAGCTGGACTATAGAAGAATTTCTGGCAGTAAAATATAAGCCTGTGTTCCTCAGGAACTTCTGAACTGGTTCCCACCCACCAAAAAGAGTCCTTTGCCCTGCCTCTAGCAGGAGAGTTAATGACATATAGCTAAAATTACACATCACGCCCAGGTTGCCCTCCAGGCTCCCCAGGTCCCTATTCATGAGTACTTGTTGTGCTGTTATTCCCACAGTAGCCTCTTGGCTGGTTCCCCTTCCCCCACTCCTCCTGCACTAAGCTAACTCCTAGGAGGGGAGAGAGGGCGGAGGCCACGGCAGCAGCTACTTCTTCAGGAAAGAGATTGAAAGGAAAGAAGCTCAGGCTGGAAGCAGTAGGAAGGATCTGCTTGCCTGCAGAAGGAGGAGGGACTAGGCAGGGCTTGTCTCTTAAAGGGACAGGATAGACCTTTACAATCCTGACCTTGGGTATGGTTACTTGGTGTTTTGGTCATTAAGATGGCCCCTGAGGTGGATCTGCTCCACCCTGACCAAAAGCCAGAGAATTCAAGCCTACTTCTGCTCCTTCTTTTAAAACAGGAGGTTTGGCATAGGGAGTGGCTGCCTGCAGTAGGGTAGTTGGTCTAAGGTGTGTTCGCTGCCCCAAACATCAAATGCTTTACTCAAGAGTTAATGACTTGATGTCTCAAGTATTGAACCAAGTATCTGGTTATCCTTTGTGTCATGTTAAACAGTCTTTTACCTTCTCCCCCTCCTATGTATTGATGTATAAAAAGCATATGAAAGATAAATGCAGGCAAACCGAAAACTGTGGATGGAGTATTCAGTATCTGCTGAGTTACCCTTCCAGTATTATTCTGTATCTCAGTGATTCTTTCTTATCTCTATTCCTCCTACCTAACATTCCTAATCCCTATGCCCCTACCCTAGAATGCACAAACCCACCATGGCAGTACCATGGCAGAAGTCACCCCAAAGAGGTGGTTTATGACATTTTGTTTTCCAATACCCACCCCTTATTCTAGTTCACATCTGGAATCGTTGCCTTCTTCTCTAGTCTAAGTTGGTCTTCTTACTGTAAGTACCACTGAAACTTCAGCTAGTATGACATACCCGTTCACAAGCCTATCTGCCCTTCAACATTGGAACTCTAAGAAGATGAAACAGATAGGTCCGAGGTTATGCATTTTCATGTCTGAGTTCATATCAGCTCACAGTAAATGAATTTTAGCTAAGTAAGTGAAATAAGCAGGAAGTGTGCATTCTGTGTCTGATTGAATTTATGCTTGGTTATCTCAAGGTTCCTTTATGATTAAACAGACAGAACACACTTAAATCCCCAAAGTCAAATAGACTTAGTTTTGTTTTTATTTTTATTCAGTTGTGGCTTTTATAGAGCTTAATAAATAATGCAAGAGACAAATTTAGTAAATAGTGGCACCTTCCTTACATAGGAACACCTCTGTGGCATGCATGGCATATTCAGAACGTCTCACTGACTTCCACCGTATTCTTGGAATGATTTGGAGGGGCAGACAGATGGCTCATCAGATAAAGTACTTGCTGTAAAAACATGAAGACCCAAGTTTAGATCCCTAGCTCCCTGTTAAAGCTGGCTACCCTGAGAGTGTTTATAACCCCAGCATAGAGGGAGGTGGAGACAGGCGGTCCCTAAGGCTCACTGGCCAGCCTGCCTCACCAGCTGATTGACTCCATGTTCTGAAAGACCCCCAGAGTAGTGAGACTCTCACTCAAGTCTCAGGATAACACGACCCCCCCCCCCCGCCCCAGGAACTCATGAGAGACCGTCCTTGCTGCAATCACATGAGGTTTATTGACAGGAACCAGCGTGCTGGGGCCAAAACTCATTTCCCACGCAGAGGTAGAGGAGTTCAACCCCAAGTAGCTGGGAAAGTGGGTATTTAGGGGAAGAAATCACAGCCCAAAGGGGGTAGGGAGAGTGTCATTGGAAAATTCCGAAAATACCAGTGATCATTGGAAAATTCCGAAAAATCCAGTGATAATCACAAGGGGGTAACTGCCCGTTTCTCAAGATTATTCTCAAGATTATAATCTAACTTTATGACCAGCTAGTTCCTGGAACAGAGTCACTGATCCAGCTAACCTAGATCTTTGGTTCTTCTCTCCCTGCTAGATTTCTGGCTCTATTTTTTCTGCTAGAGGGGTTGGATTTATCTGAGTCTTTCAGTTCAATTAGAGATCTTGTCTTAAATAACAGCAATAACAATTATGTGAAGAAATGGTGGGAGGCACCTGATATTTACATCTGGCCGCCATGCACAAACACATGTGTGTGTGTGGGGGGGGAGATTCTTTCAACCCAAAGAATTTCTATTCTCATCTTCCTTGAAATTAGCTGAATTCTGTAGCTCTAGGGTTTTTTGTGTCTATTAAAATTATATGTATATTTCCCTCTTCTCTCAGCTAGCATTTTCTTGGCCTCCACTGCTGCAAGAGAGGAAAGAATTTCATAGCGCCCCACCCAGATCTGAGACTTCCCTCTCTTTGGTAGGTCAGATTCCCTAAGTGGGACACTTCACTAGAGCTGTCCAGGGACAACTGTTTTTCTGACTGCTAGATCACAGGTCACAGAAACAAACCATGGACTGAAATAACAAAAGAAGGTGATGAAACTCGTAGTTGGTGCTACCACACAATTAAACTATTCATGACATTTGCAACTTCAGGGCTGGCCGTCTAAAGAGAAACATTTACAGAGAGGCTAGGGTTTTACAAACTCACCTATCCACAGATTTATTATTTATGAACGGTTCTCCGCTTAAACGGCCTGTGCTTTGACTAGTAATTGCCTCCTGCTACACTTTGGATTTCTTAAGAATTTCCGGCTTAAGGATCAGCAAGCAAACGCAACCATTAGACCATCCTAAGTTCCCCAGAATCTCAGAGGTATAAAACATTTCAATCATGACTGTGGCCATTAATGTGAAATGCTTGGAAACATGCTTTTGGTTTTGTTTCTTTATGTGTTTATTTTCTATCGAGATAGACGCATCACTGGATATGGTTCTATATTAGTTATCATGGCCGCAAAAATACCCTCAGAAACAACTTAAGGGAGGAACGAAGAATTCATTTGGCCTTGTGGTTTGAAGTGATGCAGTGCATCGTGGGAAAGCATAGGGGCAGGCAGCTCCATAACAAGAGCATATGGCTACTTGTTACATAGCACTGACCAGGAGGCAGAGAGAGACCTCCCTCTGGGACCAGGTAATGACCCAGAAAACCCGATGCCCAGTGGTCTGCTTCCTCCAGCTAGGGACCACCAGAGTACGATGGCACACACATATAATCCCAGCACTCTGAGAATAAGAAATTAGAGAACAACCTGGGATACATCGTAAAAGCCGGACTCAAAACCCAACTAAACCAAAAGGTTGGAGGGAAGTATGCGAAGCCCAAACATGGGCTACATTGGAATAGGCTGATTCACCAGATTGCAATCCCTTAGAAGCTGAACTATATTTCCAGTGCTTTCTCACGTAACTATTTCAGGCCATAGTATTTCTCATGCATTGGACTTGTGCCTAATCATACAATCTGATTGCTTCAAGTATTCAGATGTACATGAGTAAAAGCAGTAATTAAATACCATACTATTATTAACTTTTCCTACTGGAATTGTGTAAAATCTGTTTGCTTTTAGAAATTGTATTGGCATAATTATGTTTGATTTGAATATTCCCTTTCGGTTTGTGTGGTTTCCCCATTGGAAATCCTCTCATGAATAAAATTTTATTCTGAGTCTTGTCAGTTTGCTCATTTAGTGGTTTGATGTATTGTGTTATGGTAACATGTATTCTATTATAAAAATTGTATTGGCCATAACCACTATACCACTTTACGTCTTACCCATCAGGCTGAGGGACTCTGAAATGGTGAGAATTACGTGTTCTACAAAGTACTAGAATCAGAACACCAAAGTCTATAGAAATATCAGGAAGAAGCCTTCTATCCAAAAGGGACTGCGAGCTACAAGAATCACTATTTAAATATGAACTCTCTGTCTCTCTCTGTGTCTGTCTCTCTCTCTCTCTCTCTCTCTCTCTGTCTCTGTCTCTCTCTCTCTCTCTCTCTCTCTCTCTCTGTGTGTGTGTGTGTGTGTGTGTGTGTGTGTGTGTGTGTCTGTAAATGAGTCAAATCTCAAGGAGGTCATGTGTATTATAATAAGGATATAAGGTATCCTTATATACACTTATAAGTCTTTATTCTTTGGCCATATGAAGAAAACAGGAATCTAGTTATTTTAGTTTCTACTTTCTGACCTTACCGCAGAGGACCTTACCGCAGAGAACTGTGTTCTTGCAAGTGGAAGGTTGTCTTGATTTCCCCCCTCTCCTGAAGCACATCTTCATGACCTGAGGCATTGGATGGAGAAGAGAGAAAGTCCAATATGTTTCTGTGGTTTTGTCTCTTTCCCATATTTCTAGTTCCTGACATTGTCGTTCACACCAGCTTCCTCTCTTGTGTCCCACTTCTCCTGAGACTCACATTCATCTGGCTAGTTGATGAATCCAGCAATCCTTTAAGGAAGCTGGATTCTGATGATCTATTAAGTAAGGTCAAAGTATTACCATTGGTGATGAAATTTCAAGTAGTTAATGATAGGTAGCTGAGCCCTGAGAAGAGTTGAAGGAAATTTCTGAGAAGAGTTTTAACCCTTGGCATTCCCAAGTCTGCCTATGTTTGAGTTTTACAAGTCAAAGGTTAAAGATTTAAAAATATCCCATAGTTTCTGTTTTGCCTATTATACTTGCTGCCAGACCAACCCCAAATGCAATGCCCCTAAAATAGAGGAGCACAGACACTGGCTCCTCAATATATCATGCCTTGTCAATAAAATATCATTACTAGCTAGAAATAACCTAGAACATGGTGACTGAAAAATGGCAAATCAAAGAGCTCATTTTACAGTGACAGAAATAACATTTTTAAATCAGATCAGATTGAAGCACTGACAACATTTAATAAAATGTTTCTAAGCAACAGGGTAGAAGAATCAAAGAGTTTCAACAGAGCTGACATTAACAGAATATAAAAAAGAATCCGAAAATAGCCTCCCTGCCCCCCGCCTTATAGACAGTTCACTCTGCAAGGAAAACAAACTCCTTCCCAAAACCCAGTTTATTCGACATCTTTCCAGACGATCCATGTATGGTGTTAGCACGCAAGGATCACAGCAGCAACCCAGGCTTAATAAAGGCTCGTCTGAACATACACAGAGAAGAAGCACTGCATGGCAATGGTAGACTGAAATTCCAGACCGTGGGACAAACCCTTCTGTACTCCTTGGTTATTCACACAACTTACAGACCAATAGGAAGTCCTTGGTATTCCAGTACATATTTTTTGGGTTCGAGTAGGTAAGGGTTTTTTGTTTTCCACTGCTAGTAACATCCTAGCTTTGCCAACCAAAGAGATTTTCTAGAGGGAAATGAGTGTTGATAATAGACTCTAATAAGTGCTTAATAGATTCTAGTCCAGAAGGGAATGTTATCTTTCTACGTCATGGTAATGCCACAGAACCCAAACTGCTTTAATACTTAGAGATCCATTTCCCCCACCGTTGTGTTCGGAATGACAACTCCATCCATGAACAGACTCATTACTCTAACCAGAAAATGAGTGCAGCATGTGTGATTATCGCATTCAAAGTCACTCAGTCCGTAGAAAATGCTGAAGGCATACAAATGGAAATTCTTGGCTCTCTTCTATGCTGCAAACATGCATGCAGGTGCACATTGGGCTCAAGACGGGAAGATGAGACCATGGTGCTGGCCATTGGTTTAGTCATAGATCAGTACCAGACATTCTCAGCTCCAGTCCTGTTGGGAGTGGGTATAGGAAGTCAAAGGGGCAAGCAGATTGTTTCCCTAGGGAACAAGAAATTATGTAGAAAAGACACATGTATTCAAATAGCCATACATATAAGATTTATTTTTAAATTTCTTTTTATTCTATTTAGTAGTAATAGTAGGGTTGGTGGTAATGGTAGTAGAAGTAGGTGTGTGTGTATGTGTGCATGTGTGTGTGCGTGCGTGTGCGTGTGTGCTTGTGTATCTGTGTGCGCGTGCATGTGCATGCATGTGTGTGTGCTATGGCATGCATAGGGATGCGAGGGAACAAGAGTTTACTCATTCCTTCCATCATTGGGTCTCAGGAACCCAACTTAGATCACTGATTTGGTCAGCACGCCCCTTTACTCACCTCACTACCTATCTTGCCGACACAGGCTTTTTAGAAATTTTACACACGCGCACACACACACACATACACATACACACACACACTGAAGTTACCTTCCTTAGTGTTAGAAATAACCTCTGATAAATTCCTTACTCTGTGATTTATTTCATCATTCACATCAAAGAGCAGACTTGCATGAATCTAGATGACACACCTTACTAGACACCTGTGTGATATATCACAACCCACTGTATCTAGCATACACCTATACTGTATATGTATGTGTGTTATATATTTGTATATTTGCATATTTGCATATGCAATTCAGTTCACTGGAGATGTTCTGTAAGATAAAGGACATGTGAGTTTGTTCCAGCCCAAGCATTTGCAGACCTATTGCCAAATAATTATTTCTGCATTATGTCTTTAAATATTGCTTACCCAATTCTGAAAGCATTGCTTGATTCTTTTAAACCATCTCCAATTTCAAAAGTGAATTAGCTCACTCCAGATTTTTCATGCAAGTGGATCAAGTATGTTAAATAGATGTTTCTGGGACAAGGGTTTGATTCAATGGCTTGCATATTTTTCTATTATTCCCATCAATTTCTAATGTTTGTTAGTGTAAATGGAAAGTCATTCCAAAGTACCATATGTAAGGTGTGTATTTTGTTTTGTTTTGTATTTTGGCCTTTGGTGGTGTTGGTGGTGGCAGCATTGATCCTGTGTGTGTGTGTGTGTGTGTGTGTGTGTGTGTGTGTGTGTAAAATGATTAGCATAAAGTCCATACAACATTACTTCCTAAATACCTGAAATTAAGCTGCCAACTGTTCCTTCCCTTTTCTGACACAGTTGTTATAATATGTCCCATGGGAGTGGAGGAAACTCTGTGTTAATGTGTAAAGAAAGTCCTGAGTGAATGCATATTATTGATATGAGCATCCCCATGTCAAGGACCTCAACACCTCAGTCCCATGGACATAGCAAAGCCTTCTCCCAGGTCAGGCTCAAAGCCTTCTCCCAGTCCATGTGCAAATGTTGACCATTTGTGCAAAAAGCATCCACAATGAAACTCTTACTTGCATAGACTTCCTACAAACACTAGCCAACCAGTCCTTCTATACATAATAAAACTGGCTGAGTTTCTGGATTACATGGAAGGTGCACATCCAACTCAATTCCAGCTTTTCTGTATGTCCATAAGTCATTCTTTAGTCTTTGTCATTTCCTCATTTGTTGCAAGGAGAGGCTGTTTGTTCGTCCCGGTCGCCTGGCTAGCATAGCCCTAAAATAACCACACAGAACTGTATTAATTAAATCACCACTTGGCCCATTAGCTCTAATTTCTTATTGACTAATTTTTACATCTTAATTTAACCCATTTTTATTAATGTGTATATTGCCACATGGCAGTGGCTTACCGGGCATATTTAATATATGAGGCCACGCCCCAGTTGGCAGGTAACCACTGGCTGTAAGACTTCCTACAGCACTCATTCCCTAGTAGACCCAGTTAGGATTCCAGGACCCAGACTTGCAGGACACAGCAGTGGCCTCCAGTTTGTCATAATGATAACATATATTAGATTGTACAATAAGTATACAGAGAGTGCAAGATCTGAGACTAAAATTAATTACAAGGGAAACATTCTTTTCCCTCAGCTTCCATACCTGAACTTTAGTTCACAGACACAATCATGTAACATTTTGATAGTGTAATCCTGTTTCCATTCAGATATAGTTCTTTCACTACTGCTGCTTCCTGGCTGCTTGTTATCACCATGCATGTTTAAATGGCAACCCAACATGCAGCAAAATATTAGGTCAGCTATAGTTCATGCCAGTAAAAGAATTGGGTGAACTGACAAAGAAATGAAGCTCTGGTGACATTAGATTTCATCTCTGAGAGTGAAAGTGCAGAATAATGTATCCCATGGCTTTAGAATAGATTCTAAAATCTAGCTTTAGGTCAGTCAGAACACGCTGCAGGTCAAATCTAAATGTCAGTGCATGAGTTACTTCCATTGCTTGCTTCTTCAAGAAGCCAGACCTTCAGTTATTACTTAATAAGAGATTAAAGGACTTGCAGATGTGGCTCAGATATGGCCAAGCGAGCACAAGACCTGAGTTTGGATCTCTAAGACCCATGTAAATCTTGGCACAGGTACTCTACACCTGTGACCCCAGAACTGGAGGAACAGAGGCAGGGGTATCCCTGGGACTTGCCAGCCATCCAATAAGGCTGAACCACAAGCACGAAGGTTAGTGAGAAACTCTTTCCCCCAAAACAACATGGAGAACTCTTAAACAAGATACCCAACATCAACCACTGACTTTTGTGGACACACACACCTATATTCACATATAGAAGCATTGCACAAGCACAGAGAGAGAGAAAAGAAAGGAGGAATGAAGGGAGGTGATTTGGGCACCGTGCAGATCCAAAAATAAGACAAAACAGAAATTCTGTCTCCAGGCACAAGAAAGTTAGAAATAGTGAAGAAAGCTAAAATCCCACAGACGGGTTTTTACGTTTCATCCAGCCAACAGCTAAGTGAGCACCACGCATACCACACTCACTGACATTTATGATGTACTAAGTGGCTTTTGATTTGCACACAAAACAAATCGAAGCTCCTAGTGTTACCTCCTACTGGAATCACTGGTCTGTGTTCATCATCTGGGTGGCTTAGCATATTGCACAATGCCCAGATGGAAGCCAGACAATCCGTGCTTTGATCTGCCACCAAACAGCTGTGTGACTTTGGAAAAGTTAGTCATTCTCTCTGGGACTCAGGTGCTTGATCATTGATTGACCAATAAGAATCGCTACTTTGCAGGGCTGTGATAAGTGAGTGGAATTCATCATGCACTTGATGATTAACAAAGTATTATATATTTCCAAAAGACAGTAGCCCCTGTTCTTCAAAGCCTGACTTCACAACGACTTGCTTCACAATGCTTTTTCAAGTAGATACAGCACACATTGCTGTTGATAGTAATACCTTCTGAGGCAGTCGTCATTAGGTAGTTTCATCATTGCAGAAACATCATGGGGTGCATGGTGTATGCATACACAAACCTAGGTGATGTAACCCATCACACAGTGATGCTATAACCCTTTGCAGTGTGTATTAATTGATTTTTCGTAGCTGTAACCAAATGCCTGTTGAAAACAACTTAAAGAATAAAAGAATTATTTGGACTCACATCTTCAAAGGACTCAGTCTTTGGTCACTTGGCCCCGTGAACTTGGGCCAAGAACATCATGGAAGATTGGCGGAGTTCTTACCTCATAGTAGCCAGATGCTATAAAGAGCCAAGACAAGTTGTCATCCCTAGGTATAGTGGCATCTCATTTGTATTTTAATAAATAGAGGTTGCCTAAAGAAA